TGAGAGCTGTACTTGTCGCCCTCCCACCCATCCCTAACTTTCCCATGCGACTGAGCTCCCTCCCTTCTATTCAGCTATTGTGTACTTGTACAGGGCACGTGAGACTATGCCACATTTTTTTTAGTGTGGATATTGATCTAGTTACTCTTTAGCCGTTAGGGCTCAGGTGTTGACTTATACTCAGCCACATTGGCTAAGGAAACATTTTCCTCTTTCTTGGCCGACACAGGTCAGACATTTCTCTCTTTGTTAGCAAACACAGGTCAGACATTTTTCTGTTTTTTTTTTTTTTTGTTGACTCGGACCAGACATTGTGTATAGATTAGGTTTGAGGCTTAGCCTGCATTGCATCTCTTTCCTGCACGGAGCTTGCTCCGCATCTAGCATTGTTTCTTTTGCCGTTCCTTTTAGGTTTCCGCTATTTCAGCGGATAGTGTGTTTGATGTATCGTTTGATCCATTCACAGGTCCGAGGATCGTGTAGCGGTACCCCTACGGCCCGACAGTGAGGCCGGACCAGTTTCAGGCTGTCGGCCTGACCCTGGTCCGGTACGAGGTTGTTCCGTACCTGGACTTAGGCCGGTATATCACTTCGGCCTAGGCCAAGGGCGGGAGGTTCATTCATTCAGTTGTTCGTTCATTCATGGCCGGACTGTACCTTCACTCAGCTGCTGCTTCTCGTGTGTGTTCTCTCTCCTCTCTCTCTCTCTCTCTCTCACCATCTCCGTACGTGCCCTCCGCACGTGCATCACACACTTACTGATTTTTCCCAATCTTTTACAGTTTGGTCAGTGATTCCAAGCGGAATGTTTTCTGGTTTTGCAATTAAACGTTTACCCAGATGCTTGGATCCACTATAATAATACGACACTGCATACAAACAAAGGTATCTATCGTACATATACTCATAGGTCATTGGTCTTTCTTTTATATTATTACTTAGTAGTACAACGTCTCATTTATTTAACATATTGATTGTACAATTGAGCAGTTCATACGGTGACTCAAACGGTCGCCCAAAAATAAGAAATAAAATAGACACAAGGTAAAATCATACATCAAAACGACTTTTGGCATTCATCATCCATTGATTGGTGATGCATCTTTCAGCCTTCGACCGATTGCTTGCATTGGCTTTCAAGTTTTTTATTTCACTCCCTTTCTAAGGGTTTTTTTCACCTTTCCCTCCCGGTACTTGTACACTATCGGTCACTGAGAAATACTTAGGCTTAGAGGGTGGTCCCCCTGGCTCCCCCACATAATATAAAAAAGTGATCAAAGAGGTGCAAAAGGCAATATTTCGTATCAACCGTATTTTCAAGTTAGGAGTAAGTAAAACGACGAGGGCCCCTAAAAGAAGCCACTTGATAAGACCACCCAGATTGTCAAATAATGGAGCACAAATTTGTATTGGTGGAAGATTGGTGGGAGTAGGATTTAAACCTACAACATTCATATTATGAGCTTGACGAGTTACCAATTACTCTATCCCGAGCGCGTAGTACTAGTATGGCTCGTCTTTGCACAAGAAATTGATAGAGTACAAAAAATAATTAGAGGTAATAAAGTAGGCAATGTGGTAAAAAAGAAGAAACTAGTTTTTCGAGATTCTGTAGATCTCAATCCAAGAGTCACACACGGAGGTGGGACGACTATCTTTCTACCAAGGGACAGACTGGGACCTAGGGTCGTTGATACCGGGACAGCCTGTGACGGCATGGGACAGCTTGGGACCGCAAGAGACAGCTTGGGACAACTTGGGACAACTTGGAACACGTCTGGACTGCCATTACCGCTTTTTCCCAACTGGGGGCCTGACATTATTGCTCGTCCAAGTTTTTCTTGCCTTTTCCAACTGTGGCCTTTTCTCCACTACCACTCCCTTTTTTTTTGCCAATTCGAACTAAAAAATGCCGCCTCTGCAGTGTTTCTTTTCTTTTTTTTAACAACTACATATATGTTTGCATGTGCGTGTCATTTCTTGAAAAGTTGATTTACTGTTCATGTGTGTTCGAGTGAAACAATCACGCACTGTCCTATTATGTTGTTTGGGCGAGGCCACAATGGCCCTTCTCATTTCTCTTCTTGCTTTCCTTTTTACTCATTGAATTGCTTTTGAGTGCAACTACTAACCCAGTTTTGCTGCTCCCCTTCGTGATATTATCATTCTCGACATTCCACCTCAACAACAAGGTCGGTACACCATCTGAACTTCTGTAAGCACCATTCTTTGCAACTGTCAAACACAGATTTTTCTCTACTAATCCTTACAAATATGCTCTTCACAAGTCCTCATTCTCCTCGAAGCCCACTTCTTCATTCATGGTAGTTCCAGTGCACCTCTCGCCATCAACTATTTGTGCCTTTCCAATCTCCCTTTTGCCGATGCGGGTGGAGCCACGAGGCCCATCTTGTTCTTCTCTCAAATTCTTTCTTCTTTGACTACCTACCTACCACCTCTCCTAAGGCTATATAGGGGACCCCTGCAAGGGTAACTATCTACTCCTCTCCATCTACACAACTGATATAAAGGATCTTAGGGCAGCCCACGAATCTAACGGCTACAGATAAGAGCTGTTTTTTTTTTTTTTTTGCGGGTGTCCTGGCCGTCGCAAGAACCCCCTGCTAGTGGGACTTGGCCCCCGAGACCCCACCAAGTATCGCTGGTCAGGCGAGAGGCTCACTGATTTGTCCTCTCTGTTCCTGGGAAGCCGAGAAATCAAGGAACCCTTTTTTTTTTTTTTTTTGTTTGTTTGACGAGGAACAGGTGCTGTTGAGGCAGGAGTGATTACTTACCATGAAAAGTGGCGCCTGAGTACTCCTCTTCTGCCAGCAGGTGGTCAGACGAGGAAGGCGGGCTCGCTAGACCTCTCATAGGGCCTCGCTACACTACTCTTGAAATGCACAAAAGACAAAAATCATGGCCGTGTATCTTTCCATATTCCAGCGGAATATTCACTGTCGTTTTGCACATTTCGAGAGTAGTGCAGCGACGCCCATAGCTTGTGTACGTTTTGATTCTCTTGGCGCGCGCGCGCTTTCCTCCGTATGAAATTTTAGAGCATTCTACAGTAGGCAGCAGGATCTCGTGTGGCGCGCTGTTCTCCGTTTCAAACTTCACAGAGGTAGGTTTTTCTATTCAATGATAACTCATTCAACAATGTGGTTTACAGCGGTAGGTTTTGCTATTCATCAATAATAACATAACCAACGCGTCAAAACTCAGTCAACAGTGTGGTAGTGTTGCGAAAATGGTCTTCGGGCCAGATCCCACTAGCCCCTATTGTTCATTTTTGACCCTCGATCACGAAGATCAACGGTCAGAAATGAATAATAGGGGCTCGTGGGATCTGGCCCTTCATCTGATGGAGGGAGGGCTCCTGGGAACACCCTGGGGCTCGGTCCCAGCAGTGGGTTATCGTTGTAATAAGACGCTACCACGCAACTGGGCGGCGCCTGGGGACCATCGATTGACACGAATTCGTGTCGATGGATGGTCCTAAGGCCGCCCCCAGTCGCGTCCTGTGTAACTTCCCACAACGATAACGCGCAGGTGGGACGGGGCCCAGGACGGGCCCCCAGGAACGGTATCGAGTCGAGTGCTGATGCCACAGTAACGAGGGGTCTATATTCTGGATTCTGGATGAATTTGTGGCTAGAGGTCTATTCTGGACGAATGTGGCTGTATTTCGGGTCAGATTCGTACGCCGAAGTCCTTTCTTGTGAGGATTCCCGGTTCTCTCTTTTTTCCCGGCCGGCCGATATTCGTAAGCGCAAAAGAAACGAGGAGGTGAGAACAGTCCCCGGCGGGCTAACGGGATGTGTGCGCGAGCAGTGCGCGGGCTGTGTGCGGGTGCGGGTTGGGGTTGCCGGTCGTCCCGCCACGGGCCGTCTGTGGGTGATTCGGTCGATGTTGTCGTTGGGATGTGATCGGTCCCTCGTCGCGGGCCGAAGCGAACTAAGCTGAAGTTTGACTGAATATTCACATTCACATTCACAGAACGCTTGGTTGCTTGACTCCTTACTGATTGACTAATTACAATTGACTACTGACATTGGTAACCCTAATGTGTTAGGACAAGCGAATCGCCTTGTGCAGTTTGTGCCGTCGATCTCCAGGGCCTCCTATCGAACCACGTGTCTCATCTCTTCATTGCCACGTGGCAATCTGACTCAGTTTTGTTCGTGTCTTTTCTTGCTGACGCCGGTGGGCGGATTGGCAGCTGCTCCTCCGCCGCACCTCTACTGCCCGCTTCTGCTTCCCATCGTAGGATGTGCCAAGTCCACGACGGTTTCATTGCCCTTTGCGAGAATCACGGCAGGTCGGCACCATTGCGGTGTGCTTGAGTGGATCTCTTCTTGTTCTTCGGATTGTCTTTCATGCTCCCCTCGAAATCGAGATGATGATGGTGGTAGTAGAGGGAAGCACTTGTCCTTGAGTATATGTAGGAGAGAGGCGGCCTGCGCGCTTGAGCGGGAGGCGGTCTCTCGGATGATGATCATTGTGATGGCGGTGAATGTAGTACCGAGGATGCGGTCGTCTGTGTTCGCTGGTCGTTTCCCCGGTCGTTGTTCCTCGGTCGTTCTTCCTGCCAAACGCTGATGCGAGTACGAAGGGCAGTCTGGTATTGATGAAGGCGGTGGGAAACTGTTTGAAGGATAAGCGCACGCGGGAACTGGTAGAGAGTAGCATGATGATGTGCGATGATGATGAGTGTGGCTCCAGGAGTGTTCGTCAATCACCTCTTTTTCCTCCTTTGTTAGATTGATTTCGTTAGAATCCATTTTAGAAGGGGATGGCGATCTTGGCGCCGTCGTGTCAGCAATCGTAGCGCGCGCAGGTCTGCGTATTTTCGAGGAAAAAGCAGGGCGGG